GTAGGTATTTCACCCCATTTTCCTCTTGCCTTGCCCCTTTGCCCTCACCTTTTTTCCACTGCTGCAAACTGACTCCACAATGTCACAGCAGAATGCATCCACACTGTAGGTTTAGTGCACTTTGACGCCCCTTGAACCATCAAGGCTCAAGACAAGTGGAATATTTCAGCCCTCTTTGGAAGAGAATGCAAAAATGTCTTGTAAAGCTACAGCTCCACAAGTCGATTGTATTTGGCCAATGCAGCTGAAGTGATGCCAAAAGCTGCATAAATTCTACTCTCAGAATACGTCTTGGACCTTGTGAAACTACAACTCCCAGGACTCCATACCATGGAGGCGAAAGTGGTGTCAATCAAACTGCATCACTTCCACATTGTAGATACACTCCAGCGTAGATACACCAAGGGAGGGTCAAGATCATGCCAAACTAAAACTTCCAGAATCCCATAACCTTGAGCAGTGAGAATGACGTCAAAACTACATTATTTCCACAGTGGAGATGCACCAACAGTTTGTGATCCTGGCTTTTCCTGTAGTCTCAAGCAAAAGCAAACTGTAGCCGCCTCTCCGCAGGTGGGTCTACACAGCAGAATAATAAATAAATAAATAAATAAATAAATAAATAAATAAATCTTTATTTATACCCCACCACCATCTCCCCAATGGGGACTCGGGACAGCTAACATGAGGCCAGGCCCTTTAAAATAAAATGCAGCACAATACAAAATACAGAATACAAGAAACAAAACGCATCAGAAAAAAATTACAATAACAGAGTGAAATAATAAAGCAAATTCACACAGTATAAAATCAAACAGGTTGGGCAGGCCAAATGGACAAGATAAAATGATAAAACAATAAAAACCCTGCATGAGATAGGAATCGAAAATATGTAAGAAAAGGTTGTTGAACTGTTACGTAGGCAGAAGCTGGCCTGAAGGTCAGGAGCTCACCCCAACCAGGTCTTTGAACTGTCAACCTTTCAGTTGGCAAGATTTATTGCAGCTGGTGGTTAACCTGCTGTGCTAAAGCCTGGCCCAACCATATGTTTTGGACATGTCTTAAAGCAAACACATTTGGGATTGTAATTCACACTTCATCCATCATGGCCCAATGCTTTGGGATCCTGGAAGTTATAGTTATAACTCTTCAGACTTATCTGCCAAAGAGTGCTGATTCCTAACTAAGGATTCCATCACATTGAGCCATGACAGTTTGAAGTGGTGCTAAACTGTATTCACTCTCCAATGTAGATGCACTCTTCGTAAAACTACAATTCCCAGGATTCTGTTGCATTGAGATTTGGCGGTTTAAAGTAGTACCAAACTGCATGTAGATGCACTTGAGGGGGACTAGAGCCACCTTGTGAAATTACAACTCCCAGCATCCCATAGCATTGAGGCATGACAGTTTAAAGTGATGCCAAACCGCATTAACTCGACAGGGTAGATGCACTCAAGGGAGACTGGGGCCTTAATGAAAGTACAACTCCCAGCATCGCATAGCATTGAGCCATGACTGTTTAAAGTGGTATCAAACTGCATCTGTTTCCCCTTAATCTGCCTTCCTTCCCTCATATCTTTTGCTCTCTTTAACCCAATTGCAATGTTGTTTGGGTAGTTTCATCCATGAAATTTGGGAGGAAAGGGCTGAATGTAGGCCTGTATAAGTGGAAGGAGGGGCATTTATATAGGATTCACACAACCTTGAGCTGATCGTAATGCCTTCTCTGTGCATCCATAGGGGAATCTTGCTTTGCCGGGAAGGGATTAGAGGCCATCGGTGCTGAGCGCTGGGTCTTTAGGCAATCAGGCCTCCATCTGGTCCTGTTTTCTGCATCCCGGCTCCTAATCTGGGGACGGGGCGAAGCTGGGATTTCCAGCACGGCCTCATGCAGGGGTCAGCCAAGGGGAGGGCAAAGATGCCCCAAAGAGACATCAGCCTTACTCCCCAAAGCGGTACTCGGTTCCTCCAAGCATTCTTTCCAATCGCATAAAAACAATACCATTCAATCCATGACATTTACCCCATTTGCACCCCAAACTCCATTTGTTTCATCTGGGATCTCACTGCTTCAACCCAAATGGAGACATGTATACATCGAAGGCAGCACTTTTGTAAAGAATGAGCCAAGTATAGGATTTTAATTATTGTAACAGTAGCGAGGTTTCAAGTTTGCATTGCTTTAAATGTTGCAAGCTACTTCGGGTCTTGAGAAGAGCTTGCCAACAACAACAATAATGGTGGCCTGATATACCTAATAGAGGTGTGTGTGTGTGTGTGGGGGGGGGGGGGGGGGGGGGGAATTGGGGCAATATAACAAGCATCTTTCCCAGATTATAAATACCATGCTTTCTATGGGGCAGAATCATATGCCCTAACCTTTAGCCCAATGTGTTCTGGTTTTGTCTTCCTCTGCCAAAAAGGTGATAGTGCTTCGCCAAACTACAACTCCCAGGACTCCATAGCATTGAGTCATGGAGGCTAAAGTGGTGTCAAACTGTATTAATTGCACAGTGTAGATGCACTCAGACTAGGCTTCAGACCTTGTGAAACTACAACTCCCAGGACTCCATAGCATTGAGCCATGGAGGTTAAAATGGTACCAAATGGCATCAATTGCACAGTGTAGATGTACCCAGAATAGACCTTGGACCTTGAGAAACTACTACTCCCAGGACTCCTTAGTGTTGAGCCATCGAGCTTAAAGTGGTGCTGGACTCAATTCCACAGCGTAGATGCACCCAGAATAGGCAGTGGACCCTGTGAAACTACAACTCCCAGGGCTCCATAGCATTGAGCCATGGAGGTTAAAGTGATACCAAACTGCATCACTTCTGCAGTGTAGATGCATCCAGAATAGATCTTGGACCTTGTGAAACTATAGTTCCCAGGACTCCATAGTGTTGAGTCATGGAGGCTAAAGAGGTGTCAAACTACATCAATTCCACAGTGTAGATGCACCCAGAATAGGCAGTGGACCTTGAGAAACTACAACTCCTGAACTTCATAGTGTTGAGTCATGGAGGTTAGAGTGGTGCCAAACGGCACCTATTCCGCAATGCAGTTTCACCTTTCAAAGGTCTTATTAATCTGTCAATCCCCAAGGCCTTATAAGTCCAAATCTCGACCCTTCTTTTTGTACCCATTTTGTTGACTGGAATACAGAGAGGGCAAGAGGCGAGAGGTTTCCTTGGAAATGGGAACGCAGGCCCCCTTCAACTGGAGAATGAATCCATCTCATCCCTTTCATTCAGGACTGAAAACAGGAGTGGATCCCCGTCCCATTGCCAAGCCATCCCTTCTGCTTCCTGGGGGAAGAACTGGGACCGCATCCATGATGCCTTTGCAGAGAAAACAGACATATATATATATATATATACACACACACACACACACACACACACACACACACACACACACACATATACATATACATACACATTCCATGTTATGGGTGCAAACCCTGGGCACCTCCTTGTCCCACTTTTCTCCATAAACACCTTCACTGCCAGCCTGGCAATTCAGCTGAGGAAGGAGAGGAGGGGAAATAGTAATGATAACAATATCCCCGGGGAGCTCTCAACCTTCTGCAGTGATTGGATCTTGCATTTATTGCTGCTTCTCTTTTTCGGAAGGAGAGACAGTCAGTCGAAGCACCTCTTTAGGGGGCCTCCCATCCTTTCCTTCCTCCTCTTTCTTGCAGGGAAGGATTATGAATACTTTCATCCCCTTTTCTGGATAAACAGCCCTCCCTTTTTTTTTGCTGGCGTTATTATTATTGTGTGAGTTGGTTTGCATCCCCTTTGCTCTGTCTCTTGGTGGATTGCGACCCGTTAAGCCCCTTCCGATTTTAATTTGCGGACATTTTTTCCCCTTATTTGATCCCTGGTGATCCGCTGCCCCTCTTTCCTCCTCCTCCTCTTCTTCCTCCTCTTTGCTGCCATATGGTTTGCAAGTCTTTGCAAAGGGGTTAGGATTTGAGCCTCTGGCTCAAGAATGTAGGAAAGGAGCCCCAAGGAAGGACCATGAGCTGCTTGGGGTAAGTGCAAACTGGGGAGGGAAATGCCATCATCATCATCATTATCATTACCACCATCATCACCATTTCTTGCTTGGCTTCCTTCTGCAAACTCCATCCTCAAAGGTGCCCTCTCTTTCGGCATCCTCTAGAGAGATCTAAGGAAACTGGTGACTCATTCTCCTCCGAACTTTTATTACGCCAGACTTTTATTCCTTTCTGGGGCATCCTTTGGGGGTCTTCATCCCCAAAGGGACTCCGGTTGCCACGGAAATGGCATCATCACCCAAGGGGGGGATTAGGGTCACCAGCCAAGGTCAAGAGGTGGCCAGATGTGGCTAGTCCAGATGCTTAAAGGGACAGAGGTGCCGTTTTGGGGGAGGATTCGGATCATGGAAGCGGGTGCAAGCTGTCCGGCTTTCTAAATCTGTAGTCAGATTGGCTCTGAGTAATGCACTTTTTAAATAGAGTGCCCATTCAATAGACTTAAAAGCATCCACTTGGGCTCTCTAGTTGTGAATAGATTCAAGGAAGCCATTTCAGTCAGGCAGTAAAAGGTATTACTAATACCACGATTACTATTATTATTAGTATTATTATTATTGTGTCATCATTTCAACAGTCTTAAAAGCATACATTTTGGCTTGTTAGTTGTGAATATATTCAGAGATAGCCTTTCAGTTGGTCAGTAAAGGTCTCATTGTTGTCGTTGTTGTTGTTGCTAAGAGTTCCATTTCAATAGCCTTAAAAATATCTACTGTGTCTTTTTATTCAGGGGTAGTGCTTCAGTTGGTCACTAAAGTTCTCACAGTTGTTGTTGTGGTTGTTGCTGTTAGTTTTTCGAGCTGTATGGCCATGTTCCAGTAGCATTCTCTCCTGATGTTTCACCTGCATGTGTGACTGGCATCTTCAAAGGTTCTGTTGGCAGTGAAGCAAGTGGAGTGTATACATATCTGCAGAATGTCCAGGGTGGGAGAAA